TGCGGGAAGACCCTAGAATAAAATAATACAGTGTGGTACGATACGCACCGTTAGAGATAGACTTGGTAAATACTGAAAGTGATCATTTATTTGAACAACTGCTAATAACGCTAATATAAATAGATCTATAAATAGTGTATATACCTATATTTATTAATAACTATATCAATAATCCAACACACGAAGCATCAGATTTGTGATACCTATTTTGTGTTTAACACCTTTTCTTTGTTTAGTATTTGGAGGACAAAAACAAAACTATTTTGTATTTAAACAGTAAAGTAATAAAGTAGAAACATGAAATGAAATATCATCATAACATAACTAAGATATCGTATTCTACTGCTAGAATCAAGGCTAGAGAGTTAGGCCGCTGGTGGTCATTTTTCTCGTTACAAATAAAAAATAAACCATAAACTAATCGATCTATCGGTAATGAATTACGTAGTATTTTGTTTTAGATTTTACTTGGAGCAAAGAAAATATATACGTACAATGCTTGGAATGATCGTACAGATTTTTCCCAAGAATACTTTGCAAGAAAGGTTAATTTTAGTAATTGTGGTACCTAATGCTTGCGGTGATAAATATAATTAGTGACATGCTATTGTTAATCTTAACACTTCATTTAAGTAAACATTGTGTATAAGCAAAAATACGAGCATAAATTGCCTGATTTTTGAGTTACTTAAACTTGTTTTAAAATTGCTAAAAGTATTGTACTCGTATTTCATCAATTTTGTATTCTTAATGCTTTACTGGAAAATATAATAATTAAAACAAATTTTAATCTTAATTGATATTTTTTTTTAATGAAACGGATAACTGTTTACAAAATTTAAAGTGGATAAGAACCTGTTGCACAAATGTCCATTAATTGTCATTAGTAAAATATGTTGTGTGTTAGAGGTGAATGTGGTTCGGTAAAGTAGGCGTGACTCGACGGCTAAATTCTGTTAACGACGTGGAAGTGACGTCAGCTCAAGAAGACGGCATGTCTTGAGAGGCATTGGCGATTTGTTGCTGAGCTCGAAGAAGCGTAGAGTTTCCCGGAGCGTCGAGTAGAAGGTCCTTCAATAGCCCCAAACTGAGCAAACTGAGCACAGCTTTGGCTTTCAGGTGTCCAGATGAAGAAAACCTCGAAGAGAGAAGATTTCAAGATTAGAATACAGGAGTTGTAGAGAGAACTGAAGGTAGTAACGGTAAAGTAATTTATTTAGTTGTCGAATATATGGTTCAAGCCAGTAAGTTGTCTTACAACTTTGAAACCATAACTTGAAGAGTTCTCGGGGCCTACTGCCCTGGGAACTCTTCAAGTTACGGTCTTCAATAGGCCTTCTTTGCATTAAGGTATCCCAGGGCGAGCTCAAAAAGCTTGCTTAATCAACCTTTGCCGTAGAAGTGATTCAAGAACTACATGGGCTAGGTTTTATGTACCGGAAGACGAGCTCAAATTTGGAAGCGAATAAAATCAATTTAGAACCCTATGGTACCATAGGTTGAATACCTGAAAATGACAAAGTGTCATTTTTCATAGAGAGTATTAGATATAACCATGACGTCGAAGAAAAACTTTGGTGTTAGTAATGTCAAAATAATAAATAACTAAAAACTTTATGTATTATCATATAAATTGTAAAAAATATTAAGAAAAGCTATAAAAACTACAAGTAAGAGCTTATATAAGTGTAAATAGGCAAAAGCATAGTATAAAGTTCGTAGAAATTTGGATAAATTTATGTTACAAGATTTTAATGATTACAAGTATATAATCGAAGGTTTACAGCCATAGAATGGACAGAATGAAGAATATAAAGAGAATAGAATCCAAAGCTAATCGATATACAGACAGATAGACATTATTAGTGATAAGCATCCAATTAGTAAAGTGAAATAATGAGATGGAAGGTTAGTTATGACAATATTTGTAAAAATATATGGTTAGGTCCTGAGTAGATCAGTTGTTACTAAAGGTCGTGGGTTTGTAAAAAATACTGGGCATTTTTAATACCCATCTCGGGTGAAATTAAAATATTAAGATGACATATGAATACAAAAATTATCAAGATTATTTAAATATTTAAAAAATATATTTGGTAGATATTTCGCATATCTACATCTACTGTGAAACGCCTGTACATATACTACAAGCTCACTTGTCAGAGAGTATACTTACTCATATTATATTATCAGGAATGGCTAATAAGCGAAAGCAGGGGTCGGAAACCGGTATATTTTTCGAAACGTTTTCATCTTAAATACCTAAAAAACACTTTGTTTCGGTTTCGTTCGAACAGAATGATATAAAAAACGATTTTGGAAAAAAACAGATTTATATTGTTTTCGGTTAATAAAACGTTTTTAACCATTTATTTTGCGTTTTTTTGCATCGCATACTGTAAATAACGTAATAAAATAAATGTACGCCGCCCTTACAGCCCGCGCGGCACCGTCTTGCGGATTAAACCGGTTTTTTAAAGCGTTCTCATTTCGTTTTCGTTTTGAACGCAATCTTGCCCAAAGAACCATAAGAAACGTTTTTAAAACGTTATTTTGAATAACGTTTCCGAGCCCTGAGCGAAAGTAAATATTTAACAATTCAATTTCGATCCTTTTGAAAATGTTGGTGATCAAAACAATATCTATATCTCTAAAATTCTGCATTAATCTAGTTTTAATGCAGAATTTTCCGTACAATATTAAACAAACATGTAGGTATGATCAATGACTATAATTATTTAGTGGATAAGTAACCTTTCCCACAGGGTTACTAAAATACTCTTAAATTTAACATAATAATGAAGTTAATGTGACTTGTAATTCCTGCAATTAACCATAGGTACTTTAGCAACTTAGTCTAATGGTGGAGGTGGGTGGCGCAATGAAAAAACTGGTAGAACTCCTCAGTCTTGATTTATTTTCAATTAGTAGGTATCATATTAGCACACTTACAACCAAAACCTATGATACTCACTCTAAGCTGGTCTCGATCAGAAAGGGAAGATTGACAACCAGCAAAACACGAACACGCGAATTCGAATACGAAAAGTAATATTTTGAAATATTAACGGCCAGCACTTGACCATAAACCGTTCGAAGAGTAAACCTGCCTATAGTAATGTGCTCGGACGATGATTTCAATTAAGTTAATTACTTGGTCTTCGTTTTACATTAAGACGTTATGATTACTGCAAAAAAAAATATTGAGCATTTAACTACCTTTGACTTTGCAGTCCTATCTGTTGTGTTCTTAATATTAACAGTAAAGTAAAAATGCTATTTTCCACAAATTATTCAAACTACAAATGAGAGAGAACTAATAAATTTTTTACCGGTTCACCGGTTTTATTCATGCGTTTTGGTCTAAGCGCGATCGAAGTTCGAGGAAAATATTTTAAATCAATAACATAGTACCTATGATTATTATATTTGATTAACAATGCAGTCGCACGGATAACGAAAGGTCATTGGTTCGAATTCTATCTCAGAGTACCAGGGACAAAGTGAATTTATAAGCCTTTTCATTAAGAAGTACTATATTATATCTTATATTATCTATTCTATTAATTATATAAAACAATATTAAGGTAATAATGTTATTATTAGGCAGCTGTGCATATAATGGCGTACATTTAAAAGGCTTTACATTAAGATGTAATAACTACAAAGGAACTATGCTTATATAATGTTGGAGACCTTGAAAAGATTATAAAAATATGAATGATGAAACATCACATGAAAACGAGAGCGCGTTTATTTACAGATGATATTTAGATTTAGTAGTTATTTATTTATCTGTTAGGCAGGCACATTATAATTTAGGTCAGTAAACACTGTGATTTTAAGTGGTAATTTTTTAGAACCTCAAATTAACCACTTCTTGCAAAGAATAATAATTACAATGACAAATTGAATAGTAAGCAATGGTTACTATTGTAACGTTTTATTCCCTGTACAAAATTTCACTCTAATTTTAATTCTTTTATTGGCTGTATTTAGGGACAAAATATAGAGTCTATTCGCTCGTGAAAGATTTTTTAAAATCGGTCTAATAATTTCGGAGCCTATTCGTTGCAAACAAACTATCAAATCTTTCCTCTTTATATTATAGTATATAGTATAGATTAAAAATTAAAAACTCTTTTTGATAGAAATTATTATTATATATTATCAAACATAATTTTGAGACGCATCGTTTTTCGAAGAGAAGTAAAAAGTGTTTGGCCAAATGATGAATCAGTTATACGATCAGCCACCCATATCGCTAAATGCAAATTGTTCATTGAGCTGTCCAGGCCTCATCATGGTCAATTCTATGATCTGGCTACGACAACTCCATCACTGAAAGCGCTAAAGCTAACACCAATGTAACAAAATAGTCAACGGTCGATTAGGATCTCCGGAAAAATATTAAATCATCAAGACTCTAGTTGATGGTGCTCCGGTTCCGATGTGACCAAACTCCTACTGACTAAATACCGCCTTGGATAGTTGGTTCATCGGGCGTTTCATAGTCCGCGGCTGAACGAATGAGGGGATTGGAGTGTTCCTGTCCAGGTGGACGAGACTTACGCAGCCAATGAGCTTCCCGTTAAATATCCAAATGTAGGCGCTGTGATCGAACGACCGATCTGTAGATTCTGACTTCTGAGGCGCGTGGCTATGGTCAACAATTCCCTTGAAAACTCGCATAATTTGGTTATTTTAAAATTATTAGTAACAACAAGATGTAAAGAAAATAAATTAATGACAATATTTTTTTTATTCATTTGAGAAGCCTTGGAGTATACATACATTATCTATATTTGTATAATTATACATTAGTTACTCATGAAATTCACTATCCACATATTACAAATGCAATTTCTTACTTATGGAGCCCAAATATTTGACAATCTTGTGTATTTAAAATCCCATGAATGCGATAAGATAATTTTGTTTATTCTGTTTAACTATTGCAATAACATGAATTATGAATAGTATAAAAGTGAGTATTAATGAGAGTAAAACCATTAGATAGAAAATTTTTCCAAACGAGTGCATTTTACCTAAGTACCTATACGTGGCATCATGCGATTTTGTCTTATATTTTTGTTTGTGATCGGGGTGAGTACAATATGTTTACATATAAAGTACATTTCATTCTTCAAAAAATACCTAATCGATTCAGATCTCAGGTGGCTCATCTAACAAAGCTATTGTTTTGAGTATGTATGTATGTAGATTATATAAATCTAAAGTCTAACTAATGAAACTAAAAAATGGAGATCCTAAGGAGGACCTTTAAATTGTGCGAATAAGAAAAAATCGGTTAAAATGAAGTGCGAATCGGACTCGCACACGCGTATTCCTTACCAATAACTATGAAAAACGCAAAAAACCAAACAACGTTTGTTGTATGGAAATCCCCTTAAATATTTATTTTATTCTGTTTTAAGACCTTCGGGATCTTCTAACAACATTAGGAATCTGAAGATAATATTCTACTTAATGAAAATCTTTTAAAATAATGTTTACCTTTAAGTGCATAAATGTTGTGGGCCAATCGTTGTATTGGGCCGATCGAGATCTGCCCGGGCGGCATATCGCGATATGCCGACAATTTTTGATTTGGCCATCTATCATCCGCCATATCGTTCTATGCTTATACTATACACAGACCAATCTATTTAGTAGGGTGACCAAAGTACTATGTAAGCAGAGATAAGCAACAACCCTGTTTTCTCCTACCATCCATCTCTGTATGACTGTTTATAGGAAGACTGTTATAATTGTTTTTTACTATTTTGAATAAAAAGTGTTCAGCGATTCAAATTTATTACAAATTCAAATAAAGCAAAGTACAATCTGAAGTACATAGAATCACATATTTCTTAATTATAATATTTTCAAAGCTCAATGTCAGTTACCCTTATGCTATCGTCGATCTGCCAAACTTAACCGGGCCTATCGTGATTTTCCTGGCGAAATTCAGTAATGGCGGCATATCATGATATGGCCAGTACGATCTCGGTCGGCCCTATTCAACGATTGGCCCTAAAGTAAACGAATACCTATATTTTTATTTTCTGCATAACCTGCCAAAACAAACACTTTTTATAAAAGCTATAAAAGGTAGCTGTTTTCCTAAGGCTTCGCCACGTAAATTAAACCCTATTATATCATCTGGTTTCTGAATGTATGGGAATTTAAAGTAAACTGTACTTAAACGTCACTTAATCTGGTATTAGTTTATGCAGCAGTTTGATAAAACTAGGACGTTTCGCCTTGCGAAACTTAAAAAACTTAAGTAATTGAAAATAATCAGTTGAGCTTTTGTTCTTTTCTCAATTCAGAAATAGGTCGTATGTCATAATGAAACTTCTCGAAGTTGAAAGACTCATTTCGGTCCAGTAGTTACATTCAGAGTCCATTCAAAACAAACAATCGAAAATTTCTTCTTTATAATATTAGTTTAGAAATGATAATCATAATTTTATTGTATACTTCATATCATATTCTATCTTTGTAATTTTATGCATATATTTCAATTTCTAGGCGTGCACTGTGCTAGCTAGCCCACCAGAGGAACGGTCGTTAGTGCGACAAAGACGACAAACAGATATCCTAGATAATACCAGGTACCTAATGATCTTACCACTATACAAAAATTATGGTCACCTAACATTAACATTTTTAGAAAAGACTGAAAGAGGAATATATAGACGTTTTATAGGTTTCCTAATCTGTAGATAAAGAAATATTTTCTACGAGTATTTTAATTCAAAATTTTAAGCTCAGTTTAATATTATTAAATTTTATCAATTTTGCATTCATGATGCTATACTAAAAAATATTCTTAATAAAATATGTTTAAAAATTCCACTTGCCCGCTTTCCCCAGGTACAGATGGGTCTCGAACCCACGACCTTTCGCTATCCGGCCGACTACTTTAGAGCAGTCGCTCAGTCATTTATTATAAAAAATAAACTAGGAGAGTAAGAATACGAAACCAAGTTAGATTCTAAATAATCCTAAGAGATAGATAAATGTATTAATTTAAATAAGTAAAACATTAAAAAATACTGAGCATAAAGCGCAGTCATAGTCTTTCTTACTATAACATAACCTTTAAAATAAAGGTACACTTACTAACACATAAAAGTCAGCCTAGGATACAGTTATATACTTTGTGACCCTTTGCAATAAAATGTAGAAAGAAAGTTAATGAAAAAACTATTAAAATTTGTTACCTCTTATAGACCAATATGTACCTCTAGCTTTAACCACTTACTTATTATCATCATAACATATGTTAAAACATACGTTAAAATAAGAAATAATAATTAGTCCTAATACAAACATATTACAGACGGTTAATTGAAGATCTCATAGCGAATTTACGTTCAGCCGCCGAAGATGCCTTGGAGGCAGTCAAAATTTTTGAATCTGGTCTTCTAGAGCAAGCGAAACTTGTTCGTGAGAAATTTCTTGAAGATTTGCAGAGACTAAAAGAACGTATCACTGAAACTATACAAACAGTTGTTGATAAAATAACGGGTTCTGGATTAGCAGTTAAGGAGTGTGTGAATGTGAGTACTCATGTACCTATTTGACTCATATGTTACAAGTGAGACCTATCAAGCAGGATTTTTATATTTCATTAAGATATTACCTATAATTATTTAAATGTCTCTTCATTTTAATTAACTAATTTCAGAATAATTCTAAATGCTTATACTTACGAATAAGATGAAGTAATAATAATATTAGTCCATGCCAATATTTTATATAGGTAAACAATATATTCACAAATAGCAAAAAATATAACAATACACCAAACAATTAATGCTCGACATTGAAACAAACTAAATACTGGACAACCTATCTATTAATAGGTAATTAATTATAATTACAGTCTTTTCGCGACAACGCAGCAGCTCTGTTCAACGAAACGTTGACTAAATCTATGGACTGTGCAGACGATCGTATCGCGGAGATCAGTATTCAGGTTCAAAATCTAAAGAACTACTCTGAAGAAGCTCTTACCTTCGCTGACGCAGCACTAAGCGAGATGAAGAAATGCATCGATGACAATCCAGGAAGCATTTTTAGCGTCGGCTCCTGCCTTGGCCGGGTCGCTTTAAAAACCGAGGCGAAAAGTGTAGTTTTCGTCACACAGAGTGCTATTTCGGTAACCTATTTTGATTGTGCAATCTTAAGGCAATGTATCGATATGTTATATGTTCATTGAACATTAAGATGAGCATCATTTTTACAGATTGGTCGTGTAAATCTTGCCTTGACCACTCTACCAGCAGCTCTCGAAGTTTGCGTTGGAACACACCTGGTCTCTGCAGGGCTGGCTACTACAAAAATTATTTTTGAAATTGGGGGATGCTCCGCGTCGTCAGTCTTCTCAAATCTCATTGGCAATTCTGTATGATTTAAAACTTTAAAATGTTACGATTCCTCAATAAAACATCATATAATACAACACAAGGCTGTAATTTTATATCCAGTGAAATTTATCTTTTTTATAATTTCAGGAAAGCTACATAAAATAAATGTAACAGGAGTCCATTAACTTACACATAATTATAACTACATAGTATAAAACAAAGTCGCTTTCTCCGTCTCTATATCCCTATGTATGCTTAAATCTTTAAAACTTAGATTATACTTAGATTTTGTACAAATTGACGATATTACAACGATATTAATTCAATGTCGGAAAAAATAAAGCCGATCGGAAGCTTTACTCCAAAACGCTGCAAAAAACTTTTTAGTTATAACAAAACATTGTATGGTGGAATTGTACCTATTTAATAGATCTACAAAACAGTCTGCGGTGGTATATGTCTAGAATAACCCAAAATATCAAATTTTCACGTATTCTTAAAACAGTGATAGGTAATTTACGAACCTATTTTTTAACAATACAGTATTGAACCTTATTCAAATAAATAAGTTAGATACGTTACGTATGTAATGTTCATCAAAATTGCCTTTTACGCTATATCAAAAAAAAAAACTAATGAGTTATCGAAAAATAAAAATCTCCGGGCGAGCTATTAAATATCGATGAATAAAAATGAATCGCCGAAATATATGTACGCGCTTCAGAATTTCAGTTCGGACTGCACCAAATTGAATGATTCAATTTTTTATGTTTTCCACGATCCATGACACGGTTTATATATAAGATTAAAAAAAAAACGGGTATAAGGTGGTAAGAAGTTCGCAGGGTCAGCTAGTCTTAAATATTCCTAAAGTAGGTACTTCCCTATCGAAACGAGGAAAAGACCATTGCTTGATGACAATCACAGAACAGTATCTGTAGTTATCAGTTTGTTTGAGAACCCTTCTCACAATTGGAGTAAACGCCTGATTATTTTCAAAGGGCCACTTGATTTAATAATATAAAAGCATTAAGAAGCTAAATGTTGCGATTTATTAAATGTTCAGTACCTATCTACCTAACTAACAAAATGTTTAGATTTAACATTGTTTTAGTCCTCCAAATTATAGTGTTGTATCAAGTAAGTGCAGATTATTTTACTTTGTGTTAAAAACTCTTAGTTAAACTGGTAATAATGCACACCTACCTAAAGCATTCACGGTTTTTTTTATGTATAAATTATGTGCTCTTTTGTAGTTTCAGGATACATCTTCTAAGGATATTATTCACCGTCAAAATGCCCTGGAAAATCTAGAATATATTTATGAAAAAAATAAAGTAGCAAGTCCTATAGATTGTCACATGGATCGTTCTTTAAAGGACTTGTGGAATAATATAAAACAAACAGCCAAAAATATGTGGAACGCTATTAAAAATTTAGCTGAAGACACAATGAAAAAAATCAAAGTTTGGATAGAACAAGTGAAAGTTAAGGCTGATCGAATACTTCAAGAGTTTGAAAAACGATTAAGAGAATTGAAATCGAAAGCCATCGCCATAATTCAAAATATGTTTGGTGATAACGGGATTGTGAAAAAATGTATACAGGTATTAGACTCTTTTCTTTATATTAAGTAGTGTATTGTTATTCTCAGTAATTAAGTAAATATCGTCAAACTAATAAATATGTTAGTAACTATCAAGCTTTAATACACTATAAACCAATAGAAATTAAAAATTATGCGAAATGCAATTTTGGTAAACAGATGTCCTGCTGTTTTATTAATATTTTTTTAGTGAAGTTATTTGTTGGGTTATATAATCTTTACCAGAAAACTTACCCAAACAGCAATATTCGTAAGAGTAAATTAAAGTCCAATAATGGGTCAATTAAAATCGTGTCGAAATGTTGGCCCTCCAGTCTCTGTTATACTATTTAAACCATTGTTGCCACGCAAATTATAGTTTAATATTTTTTTAGAAACAAAATGAAAAAATAGATTCAATTTTGAAGCGAATTCTCAGTGGGATCAATTCATGCATCTCTGATAAAATTAATCAACTGCAAAAACAAACAAATTATCAAATTATCTTAGATGACACCGATATTATGCTCAAAATAGAGGCAAAACTTAATAAATGTCAAGAAAAAAAAGAGGAACCTGAAAACTGCCTTCTTGGTGTCAGAAAAGAAATAGCTGAAGAAACGAACGAAATGGAAAACGAGATATTAAAACGAGTAAGTTTTCTGTTGCTTTTCCGTGTAATCGCTAAGGAAATAAACACAAGCGTTGGCTTTTTAATCAAACAAATATTAAGATAATTTTGGTGTTTTCAGAGAGTAGAATCAAGAAATATAATAGATGACATTTTAGATGCAATAGTATCATGCTCCACACAAGGTCTCATAGAAGCATCATCAAATGTTACTAATGTCACTCTAGAAATAATTAATTGTATTGTAGAGAGTTAATTTCATACATCAATATTATAAAATAAAAAATATTTTTTCAAAAAAGTTGCATGTTTATTTGTAGCTTCAATGGTAATATATATATTTTACAAAATCCATTAACTTTAATAATACTATCGGCCAGTTGCAAAAACGTGCATTAAAATAGACATTAGTTTAAAGCGACATTAGCCATAGAAATTAGACATTCATTAGAGCTTAAAGATGTCATTAAACCCTAATAGATGACCGTCTGTCTAACAGTAAATGTGATATAATCGAGTGTCAATATTTCTTTGTTTTCTATAATAAAAAGAACAATTTGAAATATTTTTTTTACTCAAGTTTTTGAGTATATTATTTATTTTTACCTTTTCACTGTTATAGTTAGCAAAATCCAAAAATACGTGTCTATTTATAAATTATTTTCATGAAAAGGTATTACTAAAATTTTTAAATGCCATTTAAGTGATAGAGGCTCACCAATATTTTTCAACTCTTTGTGGTCAAGCTGTAGATAAAGGTATTTTTATTAATATCATCGAGGACACATAGCATGTCGACCTCCATCAACCGGTAGAGTGGCACCAGTTATATTGCTTGCTGCATCACTTGCTAAAAATACTATAACTGATGAAACCTCTTTAGCATTACCAGCCCGGCCAATAGCATGCGTTTCTGCACATTTCTTCAAAAATTCTTCATACTGCTGCTCATTCATAGTGGACTTCATATGTATACCAGTAGAAATAACTCCAGGATTAACAGCATTAACTCTTACTCCCTTAGATCCTAATTCGAGTGCAACGCATCTAGTGAACTGATCTAAAGCTGATTTGGACATGCAATACGCTAAAACATTTTGGAATGATCTCAGGCCTGCTACACTAGATACATTAACAATATTACCTTTCGTTTTTATTAAATGTGGTACTGCTAACATCGTTAAATGATACGGCCCACGGACGTTCGTGTTCATCACTCTGTCATACTGATCTAACGAAGTAGTTTCTATTGTACCAGCTTCTAATATTCCTGCATTGTTCACCAATATATCAAGACGTGAAAAACGATCCAAAGTTAATTTAATGATATTTTCTACATCATTTTCTTTATTGATATCACTTATTACAGTAAGAGGTTTCAGTTTCTGCGGCGATAGATCTTCACATTGCTTTCCAACTTTATCCAAATTTTCTTTATTTCTACCCGTTAGGACTAAACTAGCTTCCAGTTTAGCGAAATCTAACGCTGTGTCGGCTCCAATTCCTGAACTGGCGCCGGTGATAATAACTACCTTTCCCTTGAACATGATGCACCTGAATAACAGAAAAATAAGGAGGTAATATTAATAATTAAGCTGAACAACTAACGAATATTATTAAGTACTACTGAATAACTGCTACATTGAAATAGTTTTAAAATCTTTAAAACACATAAAACATCATCAACTCAGTAGTACTTAATAACATTCCAAACTACTGGGCTTGTTTTTTTTCTTTTTAGTTGTTAGTGAAAGTAATTATTTATATTTTTTCAACTAATTTCTTTTGTTTTCACGCAGTCGGGTTTTTTTATAGCTTTCGTTGAATGCGTTGCGTATACGGTGAATGTTACGTAAAAATCATATATTAAGAAATTGATTCCCTTTACGACATCATGTCTATCTTATAACTTATCCAGAAAAAAGCACATAAAGGGATGTAAATGGGAGTGGTTGTTCGTATAGGACATTAAATCATTACTATGGTAACCATTGTTTACATTCAATTGGTCATTGTAATTATATTCCATGTCATCCTTTTCCAAATCGATTATTACATATTTACGCTGTTTACGCAGGGTTAAATAATTTTATCAGACTAAAGCGAAACGAAAAGGAGGTTATGATTTTAGCCGGTATGCAATACATATAATATGTCGCAGCCAAGTAGTTTAAACAGTCGTCTAATTGGGCCGTCCAAAAGTGAATGGCACCATTCAATTTTAGACTTAGTTTTTATATAATACTCAAAATTCATATTTGGGATCTGTAACCGATACGGACTAACTATGGAACCAATACAGAATGCTACTTGGAATTTCATTAATACGATTACACAAACACAAGATATACCGCGATTCAGACGGCCACAATGCCATCTATCGAAAATGACAGTAAGCAATGTATTTGACGGCAATTGTTTTAATGTTACTTATTATTTAGTGCAGCAACACTACGTTACTACGTTAAAAATTCAAATAAAATTAAATGGTTGAATTGACTATTTTAATGAAGGCTATATTAAATAAAATACTGTACTATAAGAAAATCAGAAAACAAAATAAAACCTGGCGAATAACTAAATAATAAAAGAAACCTGGAAACTATTTAAACAAAAGATTGATATTATCTGAAAATTACGTGCTTGAAAAAAGAAGCTTCTAAAGTCGCTTTATTTTTAAATTGTTTGGACGAAGAAGCATTAACCATTTATAGCATATTCAAATGTCATGCTAACATAATTACACTTGAAGATTTGCAAACGAAATTTGACGATTATGTTGAAAAGGGGCTAACAAAGACTATGAAAGATTACTTTTTTTCAGTCAAATACAATCAGGACGATGCAATTTTGAAGGGAAAAAGGAAAATCTAATGAGAGACAGACTGATTTTGGGTGTTGATAATAAAATACTGCAAGCCTCTTTACTGAAGGAAAGTGCCTTGACGTGACAAAAAGCTATACAAATGGCTAAAATATTTAAAATCCATAAAAAGAGGTTTCAGAATTTCGAGAAGAAAAGGAAATCTTTGAAATGAAATCTGTAGCTAATAAACGTAAAAATGTGGATACCTGCACTCATAAGCCAAAAGAATGTTCAGCTTTTAATAAAGCATACCACAAGTGTGGCAAAAGTGAATCTTAACTAGTGAATACCTTACAAGAATCAATTACAATGTTATATTGTACCCAAATCAATTTAATTAAATTTTTATTTGCACAAAGGGGAAGATTTTGAATTATTATTAATTAACATTTGATAAGGCAAAAATGGTGAAATATACTGTTTTAATGATGGGTAAAATAATAATATAGTTAACTATTAGCTCAGAAACAAAGTAAAACAAGTACGTTTATGATTTCAAAGTTTGGTGCTATAGCTAACAACAAAAAATTATAAACAACGAAGCTGTATTGATTTTCGAGTCCTGTAGGTAACGTGACATGTTAGAAATTTAAGACGATCGCAAAGCGTAGTATAGCAATCGCCTTAAACTTTGAAGTTATAATTTTTAACAGATGAAAAAACATTTTGGCGACCTTTAAATAAGATGTCTCGTTGAACGGTCCAGATGTCATAATGATTTAGCTAGAAAACTAGGCGTGCTATTGAATGGCGCCATTTAATTAAATGGCTGGCCGCAAAATTAATCGGCTGTTTTAACCACATGACATATACATAAATACTTTTTAAGTGGCAGATTATGAAATGGAACTAAACAGGAAATAGTGGTTACGAGCTGCGGATTGAAATACGAGCTCGTTTGTTGCGCTACGAACGTCTAAGGGTAGTGTATTCTATAGTCTGATGGTAGTCAGAGTGAAAGAGCTATACTCCGCATAAAAAATCGGATTTTTTATTACATTCGAAAAAAGAGGGTCATAAAAGCAGCAGTGCAGAACATTTTATTTTCAAGATAAATTTAAAAATTCATATAATAGTTTTGTTGAAACTTTGATCGTAAGGTAGTCTGAAAGAGTTGGGCAATTTTCCATTTTCTCGGGGTTGCGATGAGGCTAGAATTTTCTAAATTCATAATTTACTCCGAAACCGACATGGATCTAAAACTATCTATCTGTTATTTTGATAAATTCTAATTGAAAGTGTATATAATTAGAATAGAATTTACTATTATAACATTTATTCAGATATTACTTAGAGATTTTTTAATTAAGATATTGGAAAACTTCGTGAAATGTCAAAGGTTGTTATAAGCCTGGCCTGCATCGAAATCGTCCATATTTAGCAAAACTTAACATAAAAAAGAAAACAACTAAAACAAAACTATAAGAAAACAGCAATAAAAAATGACAACTCAATCGCGGAAAACGGCAAAACAACAAGAAAGCATTCACAATTAATGACAATCCCAGATTACGTATTTTGACTATTATGAATACATCATAATCTGACAAAATTAAAAAGCTGTACTGCTGAAACATTTGAAGGGATTAGGCAACTAAATTTGATAGAGTTATAGTGACATGAGAATCATGCCGAAACTATCCAACACTGCTACTTTAGGATCTAGATGAACACTTTATGTTAGTCAAATATTAAAAGTAACATGATTATTGATATTTTGTCACAGAGTATACCATAAAAAAAAACCTTATTTAACTTCTGTCTAATGCTGTAGGTAATTAATGGAGTATAAATAAGTAAAAAAAATGTTGAGGTGTTTGGAGAACCAGATTAGATTACTGGAGCGAAGATTTTTCTGGTGGGAGGCACCAAGAAAGTAAAACTTAGATTTCAAATACTAGGGAGTATGGATGACTACTTTGTTAAATAAAAAAATACCAATCTTAGCGGTGGGGTAGGTGGCGGGCGACGATAAAAATCGATTTTGTACAAAAAATACTTTTAATAAGATGTAATTAAAAATAGATGAACAACATTACATTTAAGATAATCTTAACCATAACATGAACTTATACCCAATAGAAAAAAAAACAATTTTCCCCAAAAAATCACCATTGTTGCATTTCTTGTAGCACCAGTTTACCTGCTACACTTTCTAATTTAAAGCTACGATAAAATGCACTGAGACACAACACCACCACTGCGCTTATATAAAAATATTAACTTAAATCTTCAAAATGTATGTGCAATATAACGTAAATAATAATTTTATGTAAATATTTTCTGTAGCAGTGATTGACTTGAAAAGCTATAAGCGCGTAAAATATGTGTATTTCCTCGTCTTTGATTGCATAAGCGCTACAACTACAAGCTTTTCAAGACTCGATTACTGTTAAAGAAAATATTTGCATAAAATCGTTATTACGTAGATGGATCTAAAGATCTCAAATACGATGCAGTTGCGTAATTTCATCGCTAAGTTCCTATGACCATCTTCCAGCTCCATCATCACCAGACCTTGGTGTGGAAAGCATCCAGTACCAAATTCCTCTCAAAGACGGATCTAACGAGCCCAAATAACATGATGCAGTTGCGTCATTTCATCACTAAGTTCTTATGACCACCCTCCGACTTCATCATTATATCAGCTTACTAACACCATTATATTGCATCATCTGACTTACATGGTTATGCAAAATTTCAAACCTATAGGATCATGGATAAGACTGGAAAGCGCATCGGCTCATTCTAGGTACAAATACGTCTCACCGATTTGTGGTGCGGGGGGAGGTCAGTTTCAGCAGTGATTATTGGCTACTTAAAAATCACCAGTTACTAGGGTTGCCTAGTTGGGAAAAATATCGATATCGATAAAATAGGTTAATCAATTCCATTTAATTGAAAGTATAATTTATTAGAATAGAAATATTTAACATACGTTAAACATAAATAGTTACGCTTTCCGCATTATTATTAGGAATACACAAGTTATCTTAAATGTATAAAAATAAATTGCTGTTAAAAAAACCGAGATAAAATTAAAGCCATGTAACTTATATTATGATGACGACCTCCGTAGCCGAGTGGTTCGCACGCCGGTTTCAAGGTGTCGCCATTTCTGAGGTCCCGGGTTCGATTCCCGGTCGGATTAATGTAGAAAATGAACTTTTCTATATTGTCTCGGGTCTGGGTGTTGTGTGATCTTCGTTGTCTCAGATACTCTATAATAAGGGGGCTTTAGCTACTCATCTTCGAATCCGAGCATTGTATGTGATGTTGTTAAATATTTATATATATTTTTTATATTATAATCAATACTATATCGTTGTCATTTATATCTTACATTTTTCTTGAACAGTTATAGTTATACTTATTAATTAAACTTATTAAAACATACACTAATTTCTAAACGTTTAATTTTAACAAATAATTTTTACCTTTAATACATACTTAGTTATATTAACCTATATATTTGTTTTATTTCTTCGCAAAAAGCATTGAAAAATTTTGTAAGAAACTTGAGCGTAAAAGGTTTTTCGAATTTGGCCCTTATTCGTAAAACCTTACTTTCCGCACTCGTATCTTAAATAACTATTAAAAAGTGGTTGGTTTTGGCTAAAAATGCAAAAATTGTAAACTTTGGACTTTTAAATAATGAACAAGTATTAAAGGTAGGATGAAAATTAGTAATTAAAACTTGCTTTACTTAAAATATATATATGTCCTGAAAGATCTTAAACTAGTTAACAATGGTACTGTACTGTAGGTATATTGACAATTATTGGTTATTAAACCTCGAAGTTCTTTTGTGTACTAATTTGTGCACTAAGTAAAATTTGTCCTGTAATAGTACAATGGCAGTGAATGTTTACCTATGGAAATGTCGATATCGATCATAGCTAGAAAAAACATACAGTAGCAATACTGGTGTTACAATTTAGTAAAGAGACAAAGGGGTGGGTTTCAAGAAGACATCAACGCGTGCTGCAATTTTATAAAGTTACCAATTCTATAAAATTAGCCCGAGGTTTTTTTTACGGTATTATTATATGGTGTTATTATACGATCATAAACAACAAGCGGAATTGAGAATCTGTTGAGCTAATAAAATCCCAATTTTATGAAAATTTTCCCAGATATTTTACTTTTTCTATCTGGCAACCATAATCCTAGGTGAAGGCCAATGAATGTGTGCAGCGTTGCAAAACCTACCGATTTTTCGGTAGATCTCCCGATATGAGCCCTCGTTTACCGAAATACCGATTACGAAGTTATATCTACCGATTTTTAAGTTTGCCACTGGTTTTTACCACAAAGAAACCAAATTCAATAATATTTTATTATTTCTAGCAACACCACTCTATTTTACTCTATGAACCCTACCCATAGTCTGTTTCAATCACACTTATTAACGAAATTATTAAGCTATCCTTTTCTCGCACGTGTTGTCATCTTGACGTCTTGCTTGGCGCTATGGGGATTCCCCAAGGTTATTCCCCATTGGGGAATAACCTTGTTTGACCGTATGCTACAAATACTATGAACAAAAATGGACGCTATTGATAGCGAAGTAAGATTCATTTTACTAGAAGGGTTTGATAGGATCCAGTAAGGGAAATCCCCTGTAAATATGAAATTATTTCTTGTTTGAAAACATTTCTTATTCGATTCATTCATTCTCCTTAGGAAGATTGAGCGTGTTACAATATAGCGTATTAATTTTGTTGGGGCGAAGTTAATTTTATAATGTCTGAGGAAAGTTCAGATTCTAATGCTGGTGCATCGACTAGTACTGGTGTCAAGCGAAAGAAATATCAACAAAAATTTAAAAAAGAGTGGGAGTTACGACAGGAGTTCTCTGCATGGTTGTCTCCACATTTATCAAAACCTACTTTTGCAATATGCAAATCTTGTAATAAGGAGATAAATATATCGTCGGGGTACGACGCTCTTAAAAAACATGCCAAATCTAAGCTTCACGAAAATAGTGTTAAGAGCTTAGCTGTTCAACCAAAATTGACAGACTTTGTCAGTAAAGAAGTTACTCAGTTTAAACATCAAGTGAAAGAAGGTAAGTGAGGTTTTAATTTTTTTTGCGCCAATTTAAAATAATAGAAATAAGGTATATATTTTTTTGTTTTCAACTTATTTATACCAAACAATAAGTTGTTAAATTAACAATTTCATTCATTTCAGGTGAAATCCGGATTGCTGGGTTTGTAGCTGAGCATAATCTTCCATATAATATTACTGATCATCTTTCTAAATTAGTTGTACAGATTTGTCCAGACTCTAAAGTTGCAAAAAGTTTAAAATGCTCACGTCCAAGAGTGCAGTCTATCGTCGAAAATGTCATCGGTGCAGAGAGTTTCGCAGAACTATGTGAAGATTTGCGTAATATTAAATTCTCGTTGGTTATTGATGAATCAACAGACTTATCAACGACAAAACATCTTTGCATGGTGGCAAGATATGTTAAAAATAATCAAGTACGTGATTCTTTTCTCGCGCTGATTCCCCTTTCTTCAGCAGATGCCACCACACTTTATGAAAGCATTGTAAAGTTTTTCATGGACAAAAATATTCCTTATAAAGATAACTTGATTGGATTTGCATCCGATGGTGCAAATATAATGATGGGACAAAGACATTCAGTGATGGTTTTATTAAAATCAGAAATCCCAAATTTATTCATCATGAAATGCATATGCCATTCGTTTCATTTATGCGCATCTTATGCTGGCGAGAAGATCCCTCGATTCGTTGAAGATTTAGTCCGGGATATTTACAATTACTTCGGTTCAAGTCCGAAAAGAACAAAAGAGTATGAAGAGTTTCAAATATTTTGCCAATTAAAAATTCACAAGATTTTACACCCTTGCCAGACGAGATGGTTATCGGTACATGCAGCTGTTAGTCGGATTCTAGAGCAATATCCTGCCCTGAAATTATATTTCATCGATGCTGCCGCCTCACAAAAGGAGTTGCTAATTGCCACAAATATTTTGCAGAAATTGAACGATCCGGTAACTCTTTTATTCCTTCAATTTTTAGATTTTGTTTTGCCAATCTTTAACCAACTGAACAAAGAAATGCAAGCGGAAGGTGCTAGAATTCACATTTTATACTCGCATGTGTGTGCATCCTTGAAAACTCTGTTAGACTGCTTTTTAAAGAGGTCTTACTTAAATGCAACTAACATTGAAGATGTGAACTTTAAAAATCCTCATAACTTTTTGGATATGCGTGAGATGTACTTTGGAGCAAAAGTTATGGATACTTTACTGAATGATAACAGTTTGACTGCAGATCAGTTGAATTTATTTCAAACAAGATGTCTACAGTTTTATATTGAAGCATCTGAGCAAATTATCCAAAGATTTCCCCTTAAAAACAACCCATTGAAAGACTTAAATATTTTGGCACCAGAAAATGTAAAAAAAGGAATTCACTCAAGTGTAATACCACTTTGTAGAGCATTTCCCGGACTCGTTGATGCGAAAGACTACCAGAACATTGATACACAGTGGCGCCTGCTTAGGAACACTCAAGAAATTAATGTGTTTAAAGATGATGCCGAAGATTTCTGGGCAAATGTGGCTCAAATGAAAGGCGGTGACGGTACACCATTATTTGGACTAGTGACTTCATTCATTTTTAACATTTTTTCTTTACCGCACTCGTCTGCGAACGTGGAGAGAATTTTTTCTGCGGTAAATTTAATGAAAACCAAAAACCGCAACCGCCTGTCAACTGATGCTTTAGTTGGGCTTTTACACACTAAGAGACACATAGGCGGTAGAAACTGCTATGATTTTAATATACCTAAAACCATGTTCAGTAAACTTTCATCGCAAGGTTGGTATAACAAATAATCTTTTTTGGTTTAAGGTACATTAAGATCATAGCAGTTTTTATTTTATTGATATTATAATTTATTGGTACAAAATAAAATCTACCGAAAACTACCGAATTTTTACTGGCAACCCTACCGAATTTGTAATTCTTGGTTTTGCAACGCTGAATGTGTGTGTTAGTAAGCAAACACTAAATAACCTTCATCATCTGTTTCTTGCTATATAGGTAGGTACTTCGATTCGAGCCTAAAATAAGATAGTTAAAAAACGTTAAAACTAGTAGAATTTTATATAAGTTCCTTGGGTAGACTATACCATATACTTGAATATGCTGGTAAATGTCTGCGACTTAATTAGTTTTGGCGCGATCTTTAAAGAATTTGAAAAAATAAAATTGTCCGAGCTGTTTCAGTCTGCACTATACATATATTTTTGATCCATACATGTTACTTACCTTGTTAACGCGTAGGTAACACGTGGACTACACTGCACCTCTCACTAGAGAATGTGAAAAATAACCTCAAGTAATAGCGTCGATGCTTATCACCACTAGATGATTGAGGTTAAGGTTTGAATGATGAGCTTAACGTGGCTTTACTGTAATCACAATCTACGATACAGAGAGACGCGATACTACAAATAATTACAAAATTTTAATTCTTTAAAAACAAATGAAACAAGGATGTGAAAAAAATGCCGATAATTTTTCCTTCGATTATGTATAAATCGATTAGTTAAATTAATTTTAACAAAAATAATCGATTTATTATTCAACGCCTTTCTATCATAAGGTAAAGTAAACCCATAAGCTCTAGTAATCAAATGTAATAATAAATAAATTTGTTGTCAATACGGCAACAAAAATACGTCACAAGCAAAAAATATATTTATCGTAAAATTAAAAATTTGCTCTCGTAAGCAAACTAGATGCCACTGGTGATTTCTATGGTATGCATTCAAATTTTCTTTCTAATGTAATAAAAGTTAATTGAGTATCAAAAATTTATAAATATGATATCCCTGATATCTTAGAGTGCTAGAGAAAAAGTGGATTTTTTAAGCCTTTTTTTACTAAGAATATTTCTCAGTATAGCATTTTGAATAAAATTTTATCAAATATAATAAATATGGCATCGTTTCGATTCTTATTGTCTAACTTTCAAATAAATTTTAATTCAATTTGAACTGCAAATTTAGTTACGTATTTATTACATTACGTGTGAAGGAACGATGGTTATTTTATATGTCAACGCTAGTGATGCACGAACATTGCATGTTGTATGTAACTTGAATTAACTCGATTCATTGAAATTCGGGTTTAGAACGAAGAACAAAAAGCGGAGGGTACAAACCAGTGTGTTATTTATGTGCTGTATTTTCATATGCATTATTATGTCAAATGATATCGATATAAATAAGTTATATTACAATGAAACTGATTTCGTTGAATTGGTAGCCTTAGTAATATTTTGAATTTTATATTAAAAACGAAAAAGCACATACCTTCTAGAAACATTCTAATAAAAGTATAAAGGAAACTTATTAATTAAACTAACAACTAAAAGCATCCAACTACGAGTAACTTACCTAGTTGTTACTGTTGTATTAACAGTAAATGGGCCTTTTAAAGTTTGGAGTCGCTATGCGAGATCAAATCAGAGACGAGGAGATTTCCAGATGAACCAAGATGACCATCATTTCCAGAAGAATGGCGTGTCTGCGTGGCAATAGGCAGGGCACATGGCCATAAAGTCCTCGAATGATAACCACAGATCGGTAAATGGAGCTTAGACAAGCCTTCCACGAGATGGAACGACAATCTGATCAGGATTGCTTGTGTGGCGACTGAAACATAGCCACATCTAACTCATCGCCACAACAATCGATAGCGAGACAACTTGCATCTTCACAGCAATCGATAGCAAGACGAACTACAAGAAGTTTCAAGAGCAAGTAACGAGATGGCGCTGTACCCATACATAAATTAGAACAAAGAATTTTCATTACCGATTAGCATAAATAGAACGTCCAACCTACATCGGTTGGATGGCGGTCCCCGAGCTAACTACATCTAGCTCGGAGGGAGACAATTAACCTTTAGTCTCTCTGGCCAGTCGTCTCCATCACCACAGTAGGGTCTACACCTTCACCATTACGGTTCCTACACTTGGAAGCCTTAGATGAATTCCGCGCGTGACCGGTCATGGTAGTGATTTTTGGGGGGCCTTTGTCCAGACTGATAATGATGATGACGAATATGTTAATCTATTATATTTTAAAGCTAAGAAGTAAAAATTATTTGATGTCAGGCGAATGCCAAGTCGTTTTTTTTATAATACAAACAATATGCTAGAAAAATTAAATATAGTTAATTTGTCTCCGCTCTGTAAATTATCTATTTCTATAATAATTTCCAATTTCTTAGTCTGTTATATAAATTATTAAAACTGAACAAGAAAGATTATATTTTTTTGGTCCGTTTTAATAATTTATTTGAATTTAATTACTTTGTATATTTTGTTCTAAAAATATTATTAAAACCCCACTTTAATAAAAGTTACAGTTTTTTTATTGTCTATTTATTAAACAAATACAAATTTACAAAAAAAAATATATAATTTTGGCAAACTACTATTTATTTATCTTACAGAGAAATACCTAAAATTTTGTCAGTACCAGGCTACGGTCTTAACTATATTTTATGAGAATTGGATAAATAGTTTAGGCAGGCACTTTACCAAGACAGAGTAGCTAATTTTCTTTAATTATTTTTACTCTTAGCTTATACAAATAGAAATCGGCATATTCATTAAAAATTCTTTAATCGTAGCCTCTGTTGTTAAAATCATTTTGAAATACATTTAGTATTAGTAAATAATATTGTTAAAGGGAAAAATATAGACTACAACTGGCAGCCCTAACTGTCAATTATTTTTCTAATTAGTGCTGCCCGTAGTTATTCATAATAATTTCACCACGGACATCTCTCTGTCAGTTAGCTGTCACTGTCATTTGGACTTTGGGTAAATTTTAGTACCAATATGCTTGAAAAATAGAATCGGCTTGGTGATTTTAAATATATCGATTGAATATTAAAATATGTCTTTCAATATAAAATAAAAAAGTTGTTGAAACAAATGTTCCATAAAATGGACCCCGACTGCAATGAGAATTTTGGCTAGCCCTTTTTATTTTAAAGATAATTTTTATGCAATTATGAGATACAGCCTGATGATAGGCAAACGACAGTGGAAAGTAGCCGTTTTTACCCTTGGGTGCAGAACCCTAAATATGAAATGGGAAATAGATTTGCAAACGTAGACAGGGAAAAGTCTTGAGGGGCATTGTACACATAAAATCTAAGACTTAAGGTAATATTTTGATATTTTAGCAGTTCTATAAAGCGCTTACTAGTGAACGCCGGTAATTTTTCTGATATTACCATATAATAAAAAAAGAAATATCTGTATCATAAACAATGCATTAGCCCGCAGTTTCTTTACTCAATCGATATATTTTCTTTTAGCCAAAAATAGCCTAGTAGAGATTGCTACCTTTTCAACGAGGCCACCTTTTGTGTGTATGTTCCTAATGGTGTGTGTTTTACGTTAATATTTTACTGTGCAATGAAGTCTTTATTTAATAATTCATGGGTAATTAATATTAATATTTGAATCAGCATCATTCATTAAAGCATCGAGACTTCAATGCCAAATTCCAATCTATATTGCAAAAAAACTCTGATAAGTCTACTAGCGCTAGTATTACTGGGGCACTGCCAAATGTCGGACTTTATATAAAATTATTTAACATAAGAGAGTATGACAATATCAATTTATAACATATGTCATCATTGAAATATAAAGTATAGAACTTTTAGCAAAGAGTATGATTATAAACTCAAGGAGTTCACATCATTCACCCTGTGCATTTTTTTTTAACCACAGTCGAAGCATAATCCTGCAGATACGGCGGAGGCCTTCGCTCCCGAGAAGAACGACGTAGCTGAGAGTCTTCAGGAGATGATACAAGTGCCTCAGGATGCAAATCTATAGATTGTTCATTTTCTGTGAAAGACTCTTGATCAGGAACTTCCTCTGGGTCTTCAGTATCCAAAAATACGTCATCGTTGTGCGGTATTGGGGCCAGCGATCTATTTGAAACTGTTGTCTCACGTCCATCAGGCAACCTCACAAAGGAGTAGGCCGGATTGCTCTGAAGTAACTCTACTTCCTCGACGGCTGAATCATATTTAGAATTTCTAGCGTTCTTTTTCATAAATACCGGCCCTGGTGACATTAACCAGGTTGGCATGGAAGAACCAGTGCATGAGCGCCGAGGATGATTAAACATCCGTTCGTGAGGGGTTGTGTTTATCCCTGTAGATAGTAATGACCTTATAGAATGTAGTGCAATTGGCAATGATTTTTCCCAACAGGCACTATCTAAGTTCTGAGAGCGGAGATGAAGCTGGATTGTCTTCCATAGTGTTCCATTAAGGCGTTCTACCAAACCGTTGCCTTGTGGATTATATGGGGAAGTACGGCTACATGAAACACCAAGACTAGTCAGGAATAGCTTTAATTCTTCTGACAGGAATGATGTTCCTCTATCGGAGTGAACATAAGCAGGAGTACCGAACAGGCAAAAAAGTTCTTTCAGGCACTTAATTATAGTCGCTGATGACATGTCTTTACAAGGGAATGCGAATGGAAATCTGCTATATTCATCAATTATGGTTAGAATATACTTATTGCAGGTGTTGGATGGTAAAGGCCCTTTAAAATCCAAATTCAATCGTTCAAATGCAGTCGTTGCTTTAATTAGTTTACCTTCATTCTTTACATATCTAGGTTTTATTTCGGCGCAAACACGACAAGCAGAGGTGATTCTTTTGACTTCTTCAACAGAATAAGGAAGATTTTTAGAACGAACAAAATGAATCATTCTTGTCACACCTGGGTGGCATAGAGAGCTGTGAAGGTCAGCGAGTTGTTTAGAAGAACTATTTATAAGGGAACAGACACGGGATAACGCGTCTGCAGCTACATTTTGTTTGCCAGGGCGATAAATTATGTCATATTTAAAACAAGATAGTTCCAGACGCCATCGTTCTATCTTTTCATTTTTTATCTTGCTTGAATGTGTTTGATTTAACATGAAAGATACAGACTGTTGATCAGTGATAAGAATAAAGTAACGGCCAATTAAATAATGACGCCATTTGCGAAGGGCTTCCACAATTGCACTCGCTTCTTTTTCTATGGAAGGTTGGCGTCGTTCTGAATTATTTAGAGAACGTGTGAAAAATGCCACCGGGCGGCCTTTCTGTGAAAGTGTGGCTGCTATGGCAAATTCTGATGCATCAGTCTCAACAGTGAACGTTTCTTTTGAATCGATAGAAGCCAGAGATGATTGTGCAATATCAGCTTTAAGTTTTGTGAAGCATTCTATTGCTTCTTCAGTTAAAGGAAATGAGGAATCGACCAATGGTTTTATTTTTGCTGAGAAATTATGAATCCATTTTGAATAATGGGCGAATAGGCCAAGAGTTCTCTTAAGTGTGGCTGTATCGGACGGAATAGGAAGACTCAAAAGCGGTTCGAGGCGTGTTTTGTCAGGTTGTATCGTATTGTTATGAATATAATAGCCAAGTAGATTGATAGAATCAGATTCAAACACGCATTTGTTCTTATTTAAGGTAAGATTGTATTTCTTTGCAGCTTCCATGAACCTTTTCAGATTGATGTCGTGTTCTCGCTTGTCTTTTCCGCAGACAGTAACATCATCTAAGTAAGCATATGTACCTTTTAGTTTTTCCGTACGAATGATATAGTGAAGAGTTCTTTGAAAAGCAGCGACACCATTGGTAACACCAAACGGAATCCGTGTGAACTGGTAAAGATTACCACAGGCTTCAAATGCGGTGTAGATTTTCTCCTTCGGAAGGATAGGTACCTGATGATATGCACTTTTAAGATCTATCTGACTAAATACATTATACCTAGATACGGAAGCTACTATAAATTCAATACTCGGAAGAGGGTATGCATCTAGATCCGTAAATCTATTTATAGTCTGTGAATAGTCTATTACTAGACGTTTTCGGTGATGTCCACCTCCTGCAACCAGGACTTGCGCTCTCCATGGGGAGACGCTAGGTTCTATAACTTTGTCTTTTAGGAGATTAGCGATTTCATTTGATATGAATGTTTGATCTTCTTCAGAGTGACGTCTAGATCGGATGGCGATAGGTTTGATGGATGGCGAAAGGTTAGTAAACACTGATACAGGCGGCACAGAAGCTTCCAGGACGTTGCAGATTTTCAATGGATCCTTTTCACCACCGAACTGTAATTCAAGAGAAGAATGTGTCCTTAGGATATCATGTCCTATGATCACGTCAGCACATAAGCTATTTATGATAAACAATGGCTGTTGTTTATAAACGTTATCTCCAATCTGGATAGTAACGTGACATAGACCATTGACGTGTGATACATTATGTAGTGAAGCTAGGGTTACAGCTTGATTGCAATATTTTCTTTTAAGTTTCATTAGCTCTACTAGGCTATTGTCAATAAAACTAATGGAGCTTCCGGTATCAACTAGGGCGTCAGCTTTGTGATTATTGATAGTGATGGAAATTGTTGCCTTACGTAAGCTAGAAGGAGCAGCAGCGCATATGGAGAGTAGTAAGCTAGACGGAGAAGCTTCTGGTGTATCTTCTGTGGTTACAACGTTAACGATCGGTTGTTTTTTATCAGCGCTTCGACAGACATTCGCAAAATGTCCTTTTTTTTGACAAAACTGACACTGTGCATTATATGCAGGGCATTTTATTCTTTGGTGCACGGTCCCACCACAGAAAAAGCATTTCCTTCTTGAAGATGTGCCAGAGCGTGAGGTTGTAGCCGTTAAATTCGGCGTAGTGTTCGTCATAACGTTTAGAGACGGTGCAGTGTTAGATTGTAGAACTAAGGACGTGTTTTCGGCAGTCTCTAGTGAGATAGCGAGATTCAGTGTCTGTGGCAGTGACAACTCAGATTTTTCAAGTAAACGTTCGCGGATTCTGTGGGATGATAATCCCGCAATAAATGCACCACGTATTGATTCGTTCTGATGTTCCTCCGCTGTTACAGCTTTGTAGTGACAATCGTATGCAAGGGATGTCAGAGTTCGACAATACTCAGCAATAGATTCACTTGCTTGTTGTTTTCTAGAGGCAAGTAGATGTCGAGCTAGTGTAATGTTTTTTTCGCCTTTCGAACGTATCATTAAGCAACGTGATAGCATCACTGTACTTCGTGCATTCTCGTATTATATTGAATATAGTCGACGACACGTGATTAATAAGTACTTTTAACTTTACCTCTTCAGAGACGGGTGAAGCTTCTTCTTTAAGAAAATTTTCAAATGAGTACCGCCAATGCGCCCATTTCAAATCGGAACCGTCAGTTGAAGGAACTGTATCGAAGCGTTCCGGACGTAGGTAGCGTGACAAACCAGAAGGCGGAAGAACTTTGTCCTCAGACATTTTGAATTCGAAAAACACTTTAAAGTATAATAAATTGATACAAGAAAAGACAATACCAATTTAGATACTTGGTTTTATTATGCTTTAAAACAGAGCAAATTATTTAACATAAGAGAGTATGACAATATCAATTTATAACATATGTCATCATTGAAATATAAAGTATAGAACTTTTAGCAAAGAGTATGATTATAAACTCAAGGAGTTCACATCAATATCGATGAATGTTGGTCCTGTGTGACCAAAGGAAGACAAACGTTTGTCGGCTCGCTCCAAGCACTTTAACAACAATTCTCCTGTTTCCTTTCTACGACTATATTGGGGTATTTCGTACATGGTGGCACGCGATTGGTTCTGGGATGACTTCCAGCAACACACCCTTCACACATAAAAGCTTATTGTAAGAAGCAGAACAAGAAGAAGAGTTGTACTGCAGAAGCAACTATTTCTTCAACGTCCTCCGTGGTGAATAAGGTTGGGCATGGCATAATGATGTGCGTGATCTGTTTTGATCGAATGCTGAGTTTGGACATGATTAAAGTCATATGAGAGTGTTGGATTGCTATACTATTGATTATCTTTTTCTTGTTCTATCATAGTAGTGATCATAACAGTTCGGAGATTCAAAATTTTACTACAAGACATCGTTCTTTACCGATACGATAAAGAGCGCGATCAACATATTCCATGGTAAATTTCTTGAACGACACCTTTCAACTAGTCTTGACAAGCTTTAAATCAACACCATACTTTATACTTGTTTCGGTTTCCAGTGTAATAACTATTTTAGAAGCCTATTTCAAAATTATAACCCAGAGAAAGACTATGACGCGAATGTATAAAAATAGTTGCAGGGCAGACTCTAGGGTAAGGTAAGTTGGAACGTTTTGCTTGGGCGCCCTTATTAGGGGAGCGGCAATATTATCATAGTTATAATAGCTGTATAAATCAGATAAAAACTAAAATTATACCATGTTTTCTTCAAATGAAAAATTATTAATTCCGTTTTCTTTTTCTTTTAAAAATATATATACATTGGAACAGATATGTTTACAAAATCCCATAATGAAAAAGAAAAAATCATACACTGCCAAAATAATAATTATTTTATTGCTTTATATTTGGTTGTTGTTCATAAAAATCTTGTTATTTTGCAAAACAAAGTGTCATGAGTAATTCAAATTTCATTAAATAATATGCTGCGTAAATCGTTAACAAGATAAAGATGGGAATGCGTACATGTCACTTCTTTTTTAACGATCGTGGTTTTTTTATCAGTTTTGTGTGTATTATAGATTTAATCGGTATATTCGTATCAACCGATATACGACTATAATGTTTACTCTTTGTTGATATATTATTTGTGTTACTCTTTGCTTATCTTTACTCTTTCTAAAACTCGAAGGTTCAGAACAAATTTATTTCATGTTTTTATTTCCGTTCTTCGTTTTAAATAATTTGAGTTGAATTATTTAGGATGCCTGTGCTCTATAAATTTTTAAACACCACAGAAGCACGTATTATTTAACGCAAGGAAAGCAATACATTTTTGCTAAAGATGTCGTCTATTCCGTCAGCATCTTCGGAATCTTTTGACGATTTCTACACTGAGGTGAGTACAACATTATATCAAAATCTGTACATTAATAAATACTAAGATTAAGTGAATTAGAGTAATTCAAGGATACCATATTTTGGTCAATAATGTTGTTTTTGCGATATTATTTCAGGTAAAGGAGATTGAAAAACGTGATTCAGTTTTGACACCCAAACAACAGATAGAAAGACTACTCCGTCCTGGATCAACTTATTTCAATTTAAATCCGTTCGAAGTATTGCAAGTGGAACCTGATTCTACTCTCGATGAAATTAAGAAAAAGTATAGGAGGCTCTCTATTCTGGTGCATCCAGACAAGAATATGGTTAGTTTAAAGTAACAAGTTTTACATCTTCTACCACCTTACGCTTATTGTTTCTTAATAAATTATATATAAAAAACTTATCATTCTTTGAAACACATGACAGATTATTGAAAAAGAAAGTTCTTAATACTATATGCATTTTAAAGATCTTTTTATATGCAGTGAAGACTTAATTGGACTTATGGTTTTTCTTGGACGTCTATGTTATAATACTATGTTTATCTAAAAATATAAATGATCAGTTAAAATATTTCATATTTTAGTATTTTTTTTTTTTAGTAGTTGAATAAAACAATAAATTGACACAAATGATATCTGTATAAGTGATGTCCAAGTGATTGAATCTCCACTGTGTTATAATATTTAGCTGAATAAAGTCATTCTAACTAAAGCCATGTGAATTTATAACCTAGTGTTCTTGAACTAGTTCACTTTTATATTTCTTCATTCATTTATTGAACTCTATATTCTATTGATCTCCTTACCACCAAAAATCTGTTCAGAATATCTGATCTGTACAGAAGAATATTTCCTAGTTTAGACGGTTACGCCCGTCAACATTTCATTTTTATCCACAGGTGGAACCATCCTGTGACATGCGCCGTCTCATCAACGTTTAGGTAAGGTATGCAGTAAATGAATGGAAAGGATGCAATATGCAATTAGAAAATACAAAATTGCAAGACAACTAAAACTGAACTGTATGTTATTCATCGTATACATTGTCTAATTTTCAGGATGATTCAGAACGGGCTCAACAAGCTTTCGAAATAGTCAATCGATCTTGGAAAACCCTGGAGAATGAGGACACAAGGAAGAAATGCCTGGACATCTATCAAGAGGCTAAAGAAAGAACAGATCATATGGTGTGTTGTCTTTTATTATTCTTTTTTTTTCATATTGATGTGAATAAAACCATTGTCATTAAAATTACTACAAAAAGTATATATTCAGTTATTTAACAAATTTCAAAAAAATATTTTTAGTAAGTAATTGAAGTTGGGCAGTAAAAGTATAGCCACCAAATCTTCTCTGGAATAAAAGAAGTTAATTTCATTTATTGTCTATGTTGATAACCAAATGATTTATGTTTTATAGAGTTATGTCATGATGGACTATTATTTAGGAAGTAGAAAATTGTAGACCAGAAAGACAGCCCAGGCTGAAGTAATCTAATGTTTTTATGATTGCATTTCATTCAATTGAATTAAAGTAAAAGAGAGATTTTGTAACTCATAGGTTAGTGTGAAAAGTGTTTTATGTTTATATATTTCCAACACAGATAGAACAAAAGAGGAAAAAGAATAAAAAGGAAGGCCGTTTAGCTGAGGGAATACCAGAAGATGATCCTGTGAAATATAAACATGCAGTTTATGTGATGACAATGAAGGTACTGTATGATTCCACCGTTTTTATTTCATGCATTTTAGTAATAATTTGAGTTTTGGGGTAAAAAACATCACACATACTTGATGCAAATTTAAGACTTACATGGTTTTCTCATAGATGCATTGCCAGATCTGGACCAAATTATAATGGGACCACAAGGCAAGCAATAGCTTTCAAATAAAGAATCATCAAAATCAGTCCACCCAGTAGAACATTATGAGGTAACAAACAGAGAAAAAAATCCTCCTTTTTTTGAAGTCGGTTAAAAACTAGACCAAATTTAGGTATAACTCTGTCAAACTACATTTTCTTAAGATTTAAGATAAAAGGAGTATGTATGTATATTTATTATCATGCATGTAATAAACAATGTAACATATCCTTTCTTTATAGTTTTTATTTTACAATATAACTAATTTTGTTTCTATAAATCAAAAACTAATCATATTTTCAGCTCGGCTCAGCCAGAAAAGCTTACATTCACTGTTATATACAAAATACATCTAGAGTTTGTGTGTTGTATTACCAATCTGTTAACTATGTCAGCAAGATCTTCTCAGATACTATGTAAAGATGACACCTAAATTTATAATATGTCTGATAAAATTGTAAATAGCACCAATTTTACAATGTGTGTTCAGATTCACGTGGGGCCTTGAAGAGGCGTGTGATTACCAGAATCAATCAGCATACCAGCATATTTTGCAGCTGTGCTAGTACTGCTAGTGTCTTGTACAGTCACTGGTACAGATTACAAAAGTAGTATGGTACAGGTTATCTGTCTTTTATGAAATTTCGCCAATCTGTTTCAAATCTTAATTTTAATAAATGTAACAAATTGATCTTATAAATTTGGCTTTTGTTTGTAATGCGACGAAGTCTATGTTCTATACCGTGAATATTAATAGAATTTTGAGTGGATTTTAGGGTTGATGCATATCTCACGAAAGGATACAACGCATCTCGGGACGTCAAATACAACTAATAGATATATATGATATGATAATCAACCTTACCCACGCCACTGAGATGATCAATCGCGTACTAACGCATGTTCTTCCATGAGACACTTAAGGCTCTGTAAGATTTACAGCATCTCTTATGCCCGGTTTCTGAGTTACTTTTAACGGCAGTTTATCGATTCAATAGCGCTATTGACTCAATAACTCTTAGAATTGCGTTTCTGAACATCGCCACGTCAGTTAAACTCCGTTTAAACTAAGATTAACTTAACTGACCATTTTGTGCCGTTTATCGGTTCCATAACTTTATTTGACGTTTTGGACGTGGTCACATCATGCGATTTTTAGGTTGTTATTATCACGTGGTGAATTTTAACGTTGCGTTATAGCTAAATTAAACTCGAAAAAACAATGAATAGTGGTATAATTATTACAAGCAGTTCGTCAGAGTCGGATTGTAATGAAGTAATGGAGTTTATTTCTAGTACCTATATCTATACTAAGTCCGGGAAACTAAAAAGCAATTTGACTCGAGTTCTTATTTTTAGTTCATCCTTTGTCTATTACTTTAGATTAAAAACACAAACAAACAGACCCAGTATATAATTTAGCCAACTTTAATATGATCTTGTTATTTTTTTATCTAAGGTATTATAAAAGGAAAACTTATGAAAATTATTCCCCGTAAACAAGTTTTATGGCAAGCTGTACTCAGTATTCTCCCGAACCTAGCAATGGGAGAGTAGCTCGGTGGCGTAGTGGATAAGCGCCGCTGCCCGCGATTATTGTTGTTAAGCAACTTTCGCGAAGGTCGGTCATGGGATGGGTGAGAAATATTATCTCTCGACCTGATGCCTGCCTCTTTTTTGTAAGGATGTACATTTTCGTCCTGCGGCATTAAATACAGACACTGACAAATAACTTATTTTCATATTTTTTCGATAAAATAGTATTTGAAAACTCATTTAACTTAAAAAAAAACTATTATCGCAAATTAAACATGTACTAAGTGCAAAATAAAATAAAAGAAGTCAAATTTAGGTCGCTTCCTTGAAGAGTTTCATCTAGTGGTAAATTGAGGAACTACTTATTGGTTACATAGTTATTGAGTAGTCTGTTGCGTGTTCAGAAACGCAGTGACAGTTAAACGAAGTTTATCTTCTCCATAACTTTAATGGAGCGATAACTATTGAGAACTTAACTGAAGCCCTCAGAAACCGGGCATTAGTGTGTGAACATTTTCACATATTTTGATGTTTCTAAAGCATTATATTAAATACTATTTTGTATTCTATTTATTATAAAAGTTAATTGTTATTGTTCTTTATTTTTAGTTATTTGCTGATATGGAAAGAAAGAGACAACATCTTGAAACACGTGATATGGAAGAAAGGAAGAGAAAACGTGAAGCAGAGATCGAGCAAGAGGAGCAAATGTCCTTTGAGAAGGAATGGGCTAAGAATTTTGAGGTTTGTTAATAAAATCTATTAAGTGAATTGTAATGGTAATTTACTTAAAATTATTTTCCAAACACCAAATGCTATATTAATTTTAGTTATGCTGCCTGTATTGATCTGTGACTTACTATTACTTACTATGACGTAAAATTTGTATGTAATTCACTTTTATCAAATGTAACAGTTTTTATTGTAAGTTACTGCCCAATTAGTTTTTGTGTGCAACCTCCATCGACTGATATATATAAGTGATGAAAACTGTTTATTTCTTATATTTTAACAAATCTTATCTAAACAAAACTCACTTGTATCTTATTTACAAATGAAGCGTCTGAGACAAGTTTAACCGTATTTTAAATTTAAAAGTTAATTCAGTGTTAGTCTACTAAAGTCTACTTAATGACTTTCGTTACAAATATTTAGAAAATATATCGTCGGTTGAAAAGCTGCTAAAATATAATAACGGTCCCAGTGTCATTTTTTCGATATTAAGTTATATCTACATATTTGAAACCAATAAAATTTGTTAACCTACATTTATGTATTTGATAAAACATTGCTTCATAAATTAGCTAAGTTACTGGATATTATTAAGAGTGTTTCCACTAATAAATCTTTCTATTGGTTAGGTTAGGTTAGGAAATATCACCCATATTTGCTGTAAGAAACAATGAGAAAATGGCATTATATTTCTAAGGTTCTTGGCCAAAAATAAACACCATACTTTGATTTTTAGGCGTATAAAGATACGCGTAAAATTCTCAAAATTTTCCATTTCCTGTAATATTTTAAATAGCTAAATAGACAAATGTGTGAGTAAAAAATTGTACTTATTAACTGAATTTAACGATGTGGCCAATTATATAAAGAAACTTTAATTTGAAAGATGATGTTACGAAAGTATTAGGTGCACTAATGGTCGGTTTTTGAATTGAGAAAAGTATAAAATCTCAACTATATATTCTCAATAACTTACGTGTTTTACTTTTAGGCAAAAAGTCCTAGATTTTGTCAAATTGCTATCCACTGATCATTAAAAATCCAGAAATGAAAACCTGTAGTACAGTTTAAGACGTGCTTAACTTTAAATAATCAATTCAGAAACTGGGTTTAAGTCAGGAAAAGTTTATAAATGTATTCAAGACTACTTAAACTCCAGTAAGGGTTTCACTTTGCAAAAAAAAATAATAATAAAAAAATGTGAAGAACACAAAAAAGATGAAATCAAATACAAAAATCAAAAGACAGAAAGGACAAAGAAATATCATTATGGTTCCATGGTTTATTTTAAACTAGCTTTCCGCCAGCGGCTTCGCCCGCGTGGTTCGCTGGTGCCTTACTAATAGATCGCGCCGCACGCGCACACCCGCCTTGGTGACGCCCACTTCGCAACGGGCCTTGCAGCACAAATCGTAATATTTTAAATTCGCCATTACTTCAAAACCAAACGTCCAATTTTAATCATTCAAAGACCAAATATTATCTACATAAACTTTACTTAGTGATGAAGTAATTTATTTTGATGAGCATTAATAGCATGAGTAAAATAAACGCGTTTAAATGCAATCCAAAAAAATTCAAGATTAATAATAAAAAAATGGTCGTTGTGCCTCACTCGACTTAGATAGGTATAGTGTGTCGCGGACTTTTTTGTAGATATTTATAAGATCTACAATTAATTATAAGATTATATGGTTCTATCTTTTATAGTTTAGGCAGCGTACGCAAAATAAGTATCTATGCTGATTGATTTTTTACACCTTGTATCCGAAAAACCCAAATATCTTACGGAACCCTATTTTTATCTAAAATAAAATAGAACCTATGTTAGTCGTGGATAATGTAACTTTCGAATAGTCAAAGAATTGTTAAAATCGGTCCAGTAGTTTTTGAGCCTATTCATTACAAACAAACATACAAACAAAATTTTCCTCTTTATAATATTAGTGTAGATTATCGCTCAATTCTAAATTTGCTCATTCATTAACTGTTATACTCCATTCATTATAACATAAGAAAAAAGAGGGTAGCAGTGCAGAACATTTTATTTTCAAGATAAATTTAAAAAAAAATATTATAGTTTTTTTGAAACTTTGAACGTTAGGTAGTCTGAAAGAGCTGGGCAATTTTCCGTTTATTACGATACCTCGTGGTTAAGATGAGGCCAGCATTTTCTTAATTCATCTTTTACTCCCAAGCTTACATGGAACTAAAACTATCTATTTGTGGTTTTGAAAAATTCTAATTGTAAGTGTATATAATTAGAACAGAATTAAGTTATATCTTAACTTAACTACAAAAACAAAACAAAAATAAAACAATAATAACTTAATCACGGAAAACGACAAAAGAATAGAAAGACAGTAGCATTTACAATTGATGACAATCCCAGATTACGTATTTTGTCAAATATATCATATCATAGTCTGACAAAATTAAAAAGCTGTACTGCCGAAACGTTTGAAGGGATTAGGCAATGTTTTAAATTTGGTAGAGTTATAGTGACATGAGAATCGTGCCAAAACTATCCAACCTTGCTTCTTTAGGTTCTTTAAGATGAACACTTTATTGTAATAGTTATTAAATCATTTAAGTTAGTCAAATACTCATAAATTTGTTTAATAGATAGCTTAAATGACAACAGTTAAGTATAGCAGCTGGTATTTAAGAGAATATGTAGCAAATTAGCCGTCAGTCTTAAGAGTAACATGTTTATTGATATTTTGCCACAAAGTATACCATAAAAAGTCTATTATAGCATTAGACAGAAGTTAAATAAGGTTAAAATAATGGAGTATAGGGGAAACCAAGAAGTTTTGTTTGGTTGGATGGTTTATATATTTTATAATGTAAATATATATATTTACATTATAATTTCTTGGGCAGAACAAAGTTTTTGGAATTTCTGACTATTGTCTGATTTTGACAGTTGTGGGGTTTCTTAAAAAAAAAAAAAAATCTTACCAATGTCGTATGTAAAAATAATCGTAAAAATATCGTCATTTCCACTTTTAGATTCATATTTCAAAATTATCAGAAGCGACATACTTGACAACAACTTTAACTATCATTGTCGTCAGTTTTAACGTAAAAAAAATCAAAACTTGACATATACATCATAGTTTGTAACTTGTACATCATTCAGTGAAATTTTCAAAATGATGATGGTAATACTTTAAGAAATATTAAAAAAAACCTTCTCCTGTAAAATATACAAAATGGCGGTTACGATATTCTTACTGAAAAGGCCCGATATTTATTTTATTATTTTTAAATAGTATGTTCATCGAATAAAAATAACGTTCTACGTTAACTGGACTTTGATTATTAATTAGTTTGGTTTTCATTTATTTTTGCGTGATATTCTTGAAGACTGGTCTACAAATTTTTGGATTTATATTGAAATCTCATAATATCTTTTTCAGGAATCTCGCCAAAACCGCGTGGATAGTTGGAAAACTTTCCAATCTGGTGGCAAAGAGAAAAAGAAGAAGAAAATAATGGGTTTCAAGCCACCAAAACCCAAGCCAGAGAGCAGATAACTCTTATTATTTTTACATAGTATAGAATCCTAGGCTAGTGATATATTTCATATCTATGATAACTGTTTTCCTTAAGTTAATTGCTTATTAGTGTGGGCAATCCATACATAACTATTCGAATAAAAAACATCAATTTACTATTTATTTTTATTGATAATGCGAATCTCTCAATTTTTAATGATTTTGTTCGAATATGGTTTGATATGATGATTAGGTATAATTTGTCCTGCTAATAGTACCTAACACATCGGGTACATCAGTGCTTGTATACAAAATTCCAGTTATTTTCAATCCTCCGATCGGTACTCTGATTAGTAGGAGCAGCGAGATTTTTTTCCAATCCCATTAATGGGTTTGGTGTGAGAACCGGGTATACTTTTTTGCATACCGCCGATTGAATGGGTTTTGTTTTTGAATAATATATATAAAGTATAGAAATATATATAAAGTGTTCATCTATGTTAAAATCTAAAAATAAATTGCTTTTCCAAATTTCCTGCGAAAACGCCAACTTCTTTTATGGCGTCGCTATGACCACACGCCCATCTAAAATTAATATCATTCTGTGTTTGCACAAGGTTTGTTAATTGTTCTGTCTATGTTTGTTAATTCTCTAAGTTCTGATATAAGTAAGAGGGGCATGACATGACACGCTGTTTGCTGACAATGAGTATACATATTTGTGTTTTCATAATTAATTTAAGCAATATTATAAATATAATAAGCATAAAAGTGTGATTATCGGTAAAAGTATATTAAATACTACCGGAAAAATCATAATGTGTATTTATTTTCGTTAACTGTCTTCATCAAGACGAGAATTTGTAATAGACAAATTAATTAATCTGTATTAGACATTAGCTTTTTTATAACCACATAATATATTTTATAATAAGGTATTCTACTCCGTTTGAATAATTGTAATATTTGAAAAAAGCCATAAAACAAATATTTCTGAAAAATAAATACGTTTTCTTGCCTTAAAATGAATAAAAAATTATACTTTTTCATGCTTTTTCCGCGAAAATGCTGTCCGTCATATTCATGACGTCACTTTAATATGTACACAGAACATATGCATAGAGTACAAGATGTCAATAAAATAAGAACAATGTCATCTAACGATCGATTACGAAATAAAAAATATAAATAAGTTAAGAACAGCGCCATCTAGGAATTTGATTAATAATTAATAGGTATATCTTTAAGACTAATCCGACATTTATCGCCTCAGTGACGTCACATAATGGTGGGACGTATTCAAGTCATGTGGCACACACAAAAAAATCGCGTCTTAATTTTAAGATAAAAAGATAATCATGTGATAAGACTCAAAATCATAATCTCTATGTTTATAACTGTGTAAATTTTAGTTTTTGTGCAATTTTCTGACATATTTTATACTACCAAAACTACCCTATTAAACCGCTTTTAACATAAGTATTGTATCTCACATTTAAAATACTGTAATTATTACATTCAATTATTTTGATTACAAATCAAATTTAATTGATTGTAACGGTCTTGATTGTACTTTTAGTAAGTAAGTAATAAAAACAACACATTCAATCGGAGATACGGGAAAAGTATTTCCGCTCCTCCTACCAATCGAAGGACTAGGAATATTGGGAACTGCGATGCGATCTCGTTACATCCTGAAAATGTTCGCGCTTGCACCCAAGCGCATCGCATAGGTTTACTTATTGCGCCGGTCCACAGTTATAAGCCCTTAATCCATTATTGACGAAAATGTACTTATTATCGCGTCTAAATTCATCATCATATCAGCCATTTGACGCCCACCGTTGACCCATGGGTCCTGCGCTGCCCGCATCCAGCGGCTACCCGCTATCTTTATTAGATCGTTGGTCCACCTCGTCGGTTGGGGGTTACCCACTGAATCGTCCGATATTTTTCCACCCCAACGGCCAGCGGCCACCTTAGGGGGTGGCGAACGGGGCAATAGTCTGGGTCCTCGCTCTTCCGCAACAAGCCAAGCAAATTTAAAATACATATTTTTTTAAATTATTTTTTTATTTTTTTTATTTTGACTCTTAATTATTTATGCAGGTTATATATTATAACATAGCAGTTAATTAAAATAAAGTTAGTTAACTAAATCATTCATTCTAAACATAATTGAATACCCCTTCGAACCACTTGAAGATTGGTGTTTAATTGCATAACACTGTATAACTTAAGCATTTCCCCTCGAACATGACAAATACTTAACCCAAACAACCAGACCTACTTTCGAATCACATACTTTTCACGAAGGACAAAGGGCCTCGCAAAGACCTGCCACCCGGAGCCCCGCAATGGCTAAGGCCGCCGCTGCCAACGGCCATTAGTTCTTCTCGCTATGTGTGCCCACTGCCATTAGTTGAGCAATCCTTCGAGCGATTTCGGTTACATTAGTGCTCTTTGAGCATTCTTATGAGTCGTGGTCGTGAATGAAACGACCACGTTTCACTTCTGTAGGTCATCACTGGCAATAGCACTGGTTGAAGACTTGTCTTAAGACACTGAGGTAAATTGGACGCGAAGATATTGCGTAGTTTCCCAAACGCTGCCTATCCGAGCTGGATTCGACGAGAGAGCACTTTCTCAAAGTTGGACTTACCTAGCTGGACTACCTGTCCGAGGTATGTACGTAATGGTCAACAACTTCGAGTATAGTTAGTATTCTCAATTTTGACTGAAGTGGGTAAAACATGGGCATTTGACATGATTTTAATCATTACCATGTTCATCTGGAAACCCTTTCTATGAGAAGCACTACTGAGATCTTCAAATATGGTGTTCAGTTCTTCCAAGGTTAAGCCATTAGGACTATATCGTCGGCAAAGCAAAGGTGTGTTACGTACTTGCCATTGAAATTGATACCGTGTCCTTTCCATTCAGAAACTTAAAAATATCCTCCAATGCAGCGGTGAATAATATTTGAGAAATAACATCTTACTTACCACTGTACACATAGCATTTCCGTATATGCAGTTTAATACCTCGAGTATACCTGTGATCTTGACACTTTTGGAGAGACTGCAATACTGCCTATGTTTCGGTCGAATCAAAAGCTTTCTCGTAGTCCACAAACACCAAGCAAAGTGGCAGATTATACTTCTCAGTTTTCTGTATAACTTGCTGCAGCACATGAATGTGCGCTACAGTATTGTAGCCTCTTCGGAAACTGGTTTGTTCGGAAGGTTGGAAGTCGTCAAACTTGCGAGCGATACGATTCCTAATGATCATAGAAAACAGTGTGTAGATATGGTTCAACAACAACAAAATCGGCCTATAGTCTTTTTGAAAAACAGACCTTCTGCTCCATGCGTTTGGCGTTCTCCTCTCTGGGATAATAGAATTAAATAGCTTCTGGAGGACTTTAAATATCAGATTACCACCCGCCCTCAGAATCTTTGCAATGATTCCGTCATCGCCCGCTGCCTTGTTCTTTTTAGTTTTAAAGGCCATTCTAATCTTATACAGGCTGACAGGTGGTGTGTCAGGTCAGCTTAGCTCTGGAAACTTTAGCCTCGCTTTCAGCAGATGCGTCTAAATTATATGTACTTAAACGAAAATTATGAAGTTGCAATTGAACTACTAACACCTACAATTTTTTAACCCGATGCATAATCATATTAGATAGATAGATAAATAGTTTATTCATACAATAACACACAACTACATCACAACTTGTACGATACAAATAACATTTGAGAACAGAACACGTAATGATATAAGTGATATACCTGTGTGCAGCAGTAAGATAAGGGTCAAGGCTACGTGCACGTAAATCACCCAAGAATGGGTGAAGCACCGATTTTCAGCCGTCACCCAGTCCAGAGTGAGCGGGGCAGATTATTGTCAATGTCATATTAATAAGAAGAATTCAAAAATGTCCAAAATAAAAAATAGAAATATTATTAATGTAATGTAAGATAAATAATGATAAATTAATAACACAGAGGTCAAGTTATCAACAAATTAATATTAAATAGATTTCAATATATACATGAGATTATAAAACGATGAAATAAATGTAGAATGTCAATTGTGTCAATGTCAAAAATTTAAATTAAATTAATATTCTTGAATATGGATTAGATTCACACTGAATACATAGCGTAATTAATAAGTAACATTTAGTGTATATCAAATCATATCAAGTTTTGAATATCTAATTCATTTAATCATGTTGATAACATAAATATACTAGTTTATTCAACATCTTCGCACTCATCGACCATGTCGCTTGGTGGACCAGGCTGGGCTGGTGGTCCCCAGTTAAAGAAGATTGCTTCCGTGTAGATCATCATCCCCAATGAAAAGATCCACCTAGAAAAAAAATGCTTGGTAAAATTGTATGTCCAACTTCTCAGTTTCCGGGTAAATTGCCCTACAAAACAAGGTTGGAAAGGTCGAACGGTCTTATGATCCGTGATAGACAGTTGTAAATTTCAGAGATTATGTTTTTCTATTGTCAATTTATCAATAATACTAAAAAGCGGAATAATATAAATATTTAAAGGGACAAATGTCATTTTTAGCGGGTCAACGTAGAAAATGGACTTTACTATATTGTCTCTGCACGTGTAGCATGACAAACTCGAGAAACGCTTTGTCTACACTCATTTGTCAGTTTCTCGGGTCGAGAGTGAGATATAGTATGGGCGCACCCGAGAAAAGTGACATTTGAGTGTAGACAAAACGTTCTCGTCATGCTACGCGTGCAGGTCTGGGTGTCGTGGTACCTTCGTTGTCTCATATACTCCATGGGCTTTGGTTACTCATCTTGGAACCTGAGCAATGTATGTATATAATGGTACGCAGCCCTCAGTACGCGAGACTGACTCTCACCTGGTCGGTGTCATTATGTGGCGTATTTTTCAAAAAACATCTGTAGCATGACAAAATCTAGAAATGTTTTGCCCACGTCCAAAAGTCTAGTAAGAGTGTCTAAGTGGACGTTGTAGTATAAATAATAAGATAAAAGTATTCTCAGATTCGTTGTGCTACACGTGTTAATGATAACGCTATGTAAACAACACTTAATGTTCATAAAATTCTCATTAACTAAAAATGTTTACTGTCGTATTT